GACCACACAGAACCACTCTGGAGCAAGCAGGATGAGCAGAACAATGCTGGACCATGCAGGACCATGCAACAACATGCAGAACTCTACATCCAGCCACTGGCTCCCACCCAGCCAGGGGAGGATTCATCACACTGTCTCCCATGACTCAACTGATCACTCCTCCCAGTCTGGGGACAGCAGGTCCTCACTCACCATGTTGTGGTTTTCCAGCTTGCCCACCTTCTCTGCTCAGCTTCCTGCAGAAGCAATCACAACACAGCACACAAACAGCTGGCACCAGCTCCTCTTCAAAGCCACGCCTAAAGCTGGTGACTGGAAAGACCCTGCACCACTTGTGACTGGCAGGTCGCTTCGAGTGCCTCATTGGCTAGTGAGACCTGAATGACAAGAACACCTCCCATAGGGTTACACCATGCTTAAAGAAACAGCACAAGTGTTCCTGACCTTTTCTTCCACCCCAGACCCAGACCTGTTCTGAACTACAAGAGATTTGCATTTCAATAGCACCTGGCCCCTGGCTCAAATATCAGACCCTGCTCTCTTCCTGCCCTACATTGGCACTTCCCCTTTATGCTCCTGGACACCATGTGGCTAGCTAGATTGTACAGCTCTGGTTGCTCTTTGTCTCAGGGCTATGACTTCACTGTAGAAAATTTCATTCTTCCATTTTTCAAAAAATTTTTTGAGACAGGGTTTCTCTGTGTTGCATTGAAGCCTTTCCTGGAACTCACTCTGTACTCCAGACTGGCATGGTCTCTCTGTAGATCAGGTTGGCCTCAAACTCATAGAGATCCTCCTGCCTTTGCCTCTCGAGTGCTGGGATTAATGGCATATGCCACCACCACATGGCCCATTTTTCTAACTTTTAAAAAATTAAATTATATCTGTGTTTTCCATGCATGTGTCTGTGCACAGTACTTATAGAAACCAAAAAAAAAAGGCAGGAGACACCTGGAAATAGAATTACAGCAAATGGTTATGTACCATGTGGGTTTTAGAAATAAAACCTGGATCCTCTGTAACATCTCCCAGTGCTCTTAATTGCTGAGCCATCTCTCTAGCCCCTCTTTTTATTTAAAATTTATTTCCATGAATTGTTAATTCAAAAATATTATATCACATTTCTTTTCATCTCTTCATTCCATCTCTTCAAAAATCTCTACCAACTTTTTCCTTGTTAGGTATGGGTGAACAAGTATGCTGAAATACATGAATACATTTGTGCCCAGGTCACAAGACCACCAAGCAAGACCACCACAGAGTCATTATCCTATGCAAGTAAACAGAGGTTTTAATTAACAAAACAAGCAAGCTTGGTCTGCCATCCAACATCTGATACAGCAGGTGGAGGAGAACAGTCCCAAGCACTCACTTTAAGGGGTTTATATAGGAAAAGTTTACATGCAGCTTGGGATTGGATGAGGGAGCTAGGGGTAAGGTAAGCATAAGGTTAGTAACTGCTAAGAGGATTCAGAGTATCTATGGAGACATACATTTTTATTCCCTATGTCCTGCTTTTGTTGACACATTCAGAATTATTAATACAGTCCTACTTTCCTCTAAGGTCAACTTCTGGTCAATTGAGTCCATTACTCCCGATATCTTGTTTTATCAAGTCGAGGATACCGAGATTTATTATCCCAGCCTTATAAGTTCAATTTCTGATCACTTCTAAAACTGCTGGTCAGCAAATGCCTTTGGAGGAGGCGAGGGGGCATGTGCCTCTCAAGATGGCTACTGATTTTTCCTTTTCAAATACAACCTGCTGTGTCCATTTTTGTTGTGTTGGGCAAATTATTAGGAAAAACCATAAGCTGACCCCACCCAGTGGAAGTACCTGACATTCTGAACATTTCACTATACCCCTAGACAAATGTCAGCCAATCATGGTCCTGAACCCTAGAAATCCCCTCAACCCAATCACTGCTGTGATAAAAATCCCACCCTGCCTGGACACAGAGCTCTCTGATCTTACTGCTGCATTAAACAGAGAAAGAGGACAAGCTCTGAGCTTGAAAATTAAGGCTCTTTGTTCTTATATACAGGATTTGGTCTTCATGTTGTTATTTTGGGGGTCACCAAAATCTGGTCATACCAGTACAAAAAGCAGATACCAGAATAAGTATCCACTCCAGTAAGGACACAGAGTTGTCCTTTCCATGAAGGAAGTGCTAATTAAAAAGTGGAATTATCCTCTTTTTGAGAGAATTAACCTCAGGCAGGGATGAGCTCCTAATTGTTTATCCAGTACAATGTGGTCAGCTGATTATCAATATATGTACAAATAATAAAAGTGGACACAGCAGATTGTATTCATATATTTCAGGAAACTTATTCATCCATACCTAAGAAAGAAGTTAGAGGGGATTTGTGAAGGGATGGAATGAAGAGATGAAAGAAAATGTGATTTAATATCTTTTAACTAAAAATTTATAAAAATATATTTTAAATAAAAAGGAGGAGCTAGAGAGATGGCTCAGCAATTAAGAGCACTGGCTGTTGTTACAGAGGATCCAGGTTTTATTTCTAGAACCTACATGGTAGCTAACAATTTGCTGTAACACAAATTACAGGCATCCCCTGCCTTCTTCTAGCCTCTATCATTATGTGCACAGGCAAAATATCATATAACTAAATTTTTAAGTTAGAAAAAGCGAAAGAATGGAATTATTCACAGTGACATCACAAACCTGAGACAGACCAGAGACAGGGCTAGTTAAAATGAAGTCCTTCTGATCTTACATGGAGGCAGCTGTGGCCTTGTGTCAAGCCAGCCTGCTCAGAGGCAAAAGTACCCTTGTTCTGAGGTTAACAGAGATCATCATAATTCTTCATCTAAGAGCAGAATATACAGTACAGTTAAGTGACTTTTCTAGGGTGTTTTCAGTATTTGTGTTCTTTCTCTTTTGTATCTGTGAGAATTGTGGTATTGGTACAGTTATCTTTTAGATCCACCATCAAGATTGACAGGTCACCTATGCTCAAGAAAAAACTACTTTCACTCTGCCATTTACCTGATTTTCAGCTAAGACCTTGTAATACAAGATGAAAATCCCAGAAGCATTTCTTCTTATCATTTTTATAATTTATGTAAGTTTCTGCATTACTTTGAGGTAAGAATTCCTCTAAATGTCTCTGCTTTTGCATTGTGATCATGTTCAAAAAATGGCTTTGTTAACCTAGCCTGCTTAGGAATAGGGAGAACTCTACATGAATGTGTCCAGACTCCCTAAGTAAAATGAACATGTTCCATTTGTTTAGGAAAAGCATTGGAAAAGCATCCATTACTCTACTGGCCTCCTACTCATAAGAAAATTTTCTCCTTTCTTCTGTCTTGGCTATTTTGACTGCTATTCTTGGTAGTCAATCTGACTACCTCTGAAAATAAGTAAAACTCAAAGAGTTGCATAAACCTGTGAGGGGTATTTAAAAGGATTTGAAATGAAAGACCCACCTTTAATGTGGATCATTTGAGGTGATATCCTCCTTCAGCTACTTGGTGGCTGTGCACACCTTCAACTCCAGCACTCAGGAGGAAGAATCAGTTGGATTTTCTGAGCTTGAGACCAGGCTTGTCTACAGAATGAGTTCCAGGGCTACACAGGTAAATACAGTCTCAAAACACCAAAAATAAATAAATAAACAAACAAATAAATAAATAAATAAATAAATAAATAAATAAATAAATAAATAAAAGTATAAGCTTCACCTTTAATCTTGATCATACGTTCTGGAGACAGCCTACACATATAAAGGACACTGAAGGAGGAAGCTGTCTCTTTGTCTGCTTGTCCTACCTCTGGCTACCACATTCATTCCTTTACCAGCATTAGAGGCTACTTCCTTAAAATTGTGGTGTATACTGAAGACCAGCTGAGATATATAGCCTCATAAACTGAACAAATAGTGAATTCTATGAATTTCTATTAGTAGGCAGTCATTGTTGGACTACATGAACCACAGTTTGTGAGACATTTTAATAAAACACTTTCTGCCAGGCAGTGGTGGTACATGCCTCTAATCCCAGCACTTGGGAGGCAGAGGCAGGTGTATCTCTGTGAGTTCTAGGCCAGCCTGGTCTACAGAGTGAGATCTAGGACAGGCTCCAAAGCTACACAGAGAAACCCTGTATCCACTTTCTTCATATATGGAGAGATTTGTTCTACCAGTTCTGATCATGTAGAAAATCTTGAATAAAGCAATTCTATTTTTTTTTCACCTGCCCACTGAGTAAGATGTGCTGACTAATAATAGTGCTCATAAACACATTATTCCTAGTTCAAATATTCTCTAAGTATTCAACTATCCACGATGAGTATTCTTTACTACTACTCATTTGCCAAAAGTTTGCTCTGAATATCTGGAATAGAAATCCTAATGCAGTGGATCTATTATGCTGGTTGTGATCTAGTTCCTGATTTTCTTTGCTGGTTGTCTGAAGTCCCTATGACAACCAGGAAAAAAGTACCTTCAGTTCACCTAATATCAGTGTTAAGTCACACAACTAACACTATCTATGTGTGTCTTTAAATCTCTCCTTAGTTGCTAGTAGTCCAGGCACCCTTCCACCTGTGTGATAGGGAATCACTCCACCCTACACAGTATAATGGTCTGTACAAGCTAGCTAGCTACATTACGTCCAGGAGGAAGAAGAGGAAGTACCTATGGAGAGAAGGAATAGAGCAGGGTCAGCTATTAGAGGCAAGGGCAAGTGTTATTAATATGCATATCCCTGCTGATCTAGAGAAAGTCTTTGTCTGTGGTGGAAGGGAGGGACAGGAACCATTGTGCTGTGTTTTTAAGCACATTGTAACCCTATTGGAGGTGCTCTTATCACTCAGGCCTCCCTAGCCAATCAGATCCTCCAGGTGACCTGCCAGTCAGGAGTTGTGCAGGTTTCTTCCGGCCACCAGCTTCAGTCTTGGCTTTGAAGAAAGGCTGCAGCCAGCAGTTTTGTGTGTTGTGCTGTGGATGCTCCTGCAGGGATCTGAGCAGAGAGTATGGCCGAGCTGGGAAACCATGATTTGGTGAGTGAGGGGCTGCTGTCTCCAGAAGGGGTGGATCAGATGGTGAGGTGCAGGATCTAGTATGGTTGGTCCTTCTTGGATCTAGGTGGGCAACTGCCTGCAGAATCCCAGTCCTGTGAAGTCCCATGTGGTAATTAAAACTTCCTCGACCCAGGGGCAGGCCTCTGAATAACTTTGCTGTGTGGGCTGAATCTGTTCACAGAATTGAATGAAGGAGCTGTGTGTAGAAACATCTTTGTGCTGAGTGAGGGTAGCCCATGCCTTTAATCCCAGCACTGGCGAGGCAGAATCAAGCAGTTCTCTGTGAGTTCAAGGCCAGCCTGCTTTACAGAGTGAGATCCAGGTCAGGCACCAAAACTACACAGAGAAGTTTGTCTCACAAAAAACCAAGAAAAAAATAGAAGGAAAAAAGAAAAGGAGACACTTTTGCAGTGAACTTTGACATGGTTTTGGTGCACCCATGGAAAGCAGGTTGTCAAACATGGAGAGTATTTTCCAGTACCTTTTAGAGGTTCAGGACTTTGCATTTCACTTTCATGTGTAAGATCCTTTTACAGTTAATTTTGTGGAGGTTGTAAAATGCATCTCATGTGTTGGGTAGCACTCAACTACTAAGGTGTGATAAAGAAGAGTAGAATTGGTAATATAAAGGATTTATTAATCCTTTGGAGATATTAAGCCTCCCAAAATAGAATTTAGCTTAGGGAGGGCTGCCTCAAAAACAAAAACAAAAACAAAAATGAAACAAAACAAAACAAAACAAAACCCCTCAAAGATAAGTGTATTTTAGCCAGGCCTGTTAGAGATTAGGACAAGAGGGTACACATTTGTTTGGCTCCAAACCATTACAAAGAAGCCACTGCTAATTTGGAAAAAGCCACTATGCCTAACACTGTATCAAAGAATTGGACTCTAAGAAGCAGCTCATTGAGGCATTACAGGGTCAAAACCAGCCTTAAGTCCTGGCATGCCATAAAGTTCCAGTTTTCTTTTTGAGTAAAGCATTATTCTGTAGGATGGGCAATATCACATCAGGTGTCAACTAATTTGAAAAGTAAAACACTAGCCAGGTGGTGGTGGTGCACACCTTTAATCCCTGCACTCACTCAGGAGGCAGAGGCAGGTTGATCTCTGTGAGTTTGAGGCCAGCCTGGTCCACAGAGTGAGTTCCAGGACAGGCTCCAAAGATACAGAGTGAAAATCTGTCTTGGAAAACCAAACATAAAAAAAAAAAAAGAAAATAAGAATAAAAGAGAAGTAAAACACTGTTGTGTTAAGGAATTGCCTGATCAAGCAAGGCTTTCACTTAGACCATCAGGTAGGGATTATGAAAATTCTTGGGAGAGCCGGTAATAACCTTGGACCTAGGCCTAGGAAGCTTTCCCTAAGTGCCTGATGTACTGATAATAAAACAGAGCTCCTTTCTGAAAACCAGGAATATGCTTTGGAGAACTAGCAATGGTCTGGAACCAGGGCCCTTGTGGTGGGGTTGCTTCAGATCCTGAGAAACCAACTCTTTCCACCATAAGGGGCTATAGTTATCAGTCCACAGTTCACTGTGGGGCTTAGTCAGTAATGTTCTTGAGATACCTTGTTTGTTTGATTAGCCTCCTCTTTGAATCTGTCCTATTGTATGATACTTTCTGCTGACTTTCTAGAAGTTCCCCCATTTCTGTTTATTTCACCCCTGGAAGTAGTATCCAAATTCCTATTCTTCTTAAGGAGTTTAGATAATATGAGACACAGCTTGTGTAATGCCTCCCCACCCCAGCTTTTATCTTTTCTACCTTATACTTTTCCTTTCTTTCTCATCTCTTGTGACCATCACCTCAGGACTCTGTCACTGAAGAAGATCCTGCTGTTTCACATAATTGGGTTACATATGAAATAATTTTGGAAATGTCTTTGCTGTGTAAGTCTCCCCTCTGTTTAAGTGATTAGACTTGTAGTCTTCCCTCCCTATTTAAATTGCTGAAAGTGTAACCTGAAGACTTAACCTAAATGTCACAAGGATGATTAGCATATGTGGGATGCAAAATCTCTTCTAGGCTGGCTCCTCTTTTAGCATTAGCTGGGGATGAATACATACTATCCTTAAATAGATTTTTCTTTTATTATCTCTGAAGTGTGTCTACTGATTTCTCCCTCCAAAGGCATTTTAATTCTAGAACAGCTGCATGTCAATCCTGTTTAAAAAAATGTTTCTGAAACAAGCTCTCTTATGTTGACACAAGAGGCCTTGGTCCTAATCTGTTGCTCTCTATGGCAATGACTTTCCTGTACTGTATATTACACATTAAAAATCTTAAATTAATTGATTGCATCACCTCAGAGTTTCAAAATTATCTATTTGGGTCATACAGCTGCATATCTATTGCAATAAAAGGAAATGGATTTGCTTTTAGAGCATGGTTTCTACCTTCAGACCAGAATAGATGGAATAGTTTATTGTGTACACTGCTGGGGGAAACAGGGTAGGAAATTAGCTACTGGAGTCACCATTATGAAAGCAAACCTGATTAGAGCAGGGGGAGTGGTTTTGTAATTTCCCAGCATGTACTGATTGATGACTTGTGAATGAAGACAGAGCAGACTGGTTTTTGTACAATTTGGGAAGGTCAACTTGCACCAAAGGATATTGAATTTTCAATTAGGTAACTCTCCTATGCAGATATGTTCAGTCCTGCTTGACACAGTTATGTCAGCTCAGAGGTTTGAGAAAAAGGTCACTGACTGTAACTCTGTGTCAGGTTACAGATCCCTGCAGCCAACAGTATATTTGGGAAGATCAGCCTATCTGTTATTAATGATATTCCCTCTACTAGAGAACGTTGCACTCTTTTTTTAAAGTCAATATAACTAAGGTCTTTTGTTTATTTATTTATTTATTTATTATTTATTTATTTATTTATTTATTTATTGAGACAAGATTTCTCTGGAAATCACTCTATAGCCCAGACTGGCCTCAAATTTATATAGATCTGCCTGCCACTTTCTCCTGAGTGCTGGGTTTAAAGGTGTGTGCCACCACCACCTGGCGTAGCTAAATTTTTTATCTTGAAAAATACATTATCACTTTAAAATATCACTTATTGCTATTATTTTGAACATTTTTAAGAGCATTATTGCTTTTATCTATTTGTTCCTCCTCTCTAATATGTCTAGGTTATTAATTGTTTCATTCCTTTTCTCTCAAGAGCTGTTGATCATTGAATTCTGTGTAGAGCAGTGTCTTTTCTAGCCCAGGCTTGCCTCATGCTATGTAATTGAGAATTGCATTGAACACCTAAACCTGCCTCTGCTGCCCAGTGCTGGAAAGATAGTCCAGCACCTCCTTCTAGGATGAACCCAGTGAGAAGGAAAATTGGAGTAGTTACTGAGTGTCCCCCAGTCTCCCTGACTTTTTGGGGGGACATAAAGACAAAGAGGGACCTGTGCAAGAATTGAGTTCACTGAAAATCTTTGAAGCTGATGTATTGAAAGTGCTGAAAGGGAGGGACAGGACAGAGGGTGAGAGCTTTCCTGTTTCAACAGTATTTGAGAATAGCAATGTGGAGTAATGTAATCGATTTTTGATGATCCACAGATGTTCTGAGTAGCCATTTCTTGGGGTCCACAGACCAGCACCTTCAGTAATCTGAATAAAGGACTGACCCTATCATGAAACAAAATTACTGTAGTTACACTGGTTCACGCAGTATAGAAGATCTGGGTAAAATTGTGTGGCCCTGCCTAACAGGACTATTATTTTCCTTGTTTAAGATGTGTACCTCAGGAAAAAGAAATGCATTTGAGTAATCCTTCGTTTGTTTTCATACAAATCCCTAGTATCTGGAACACATGGCCATGAATTCTGTTCCAACTTTTCCAAATAATTCTTTGAGATTATGACTATGTCATGTCCACAGTCTCTTTCCTACCTATAAGCCCTACTATTGACCACTAATTATTTTCTAATTCATGGCCTGTTTTTCTTTAACAGTTATATAGTAACAATAGTTACTATTTGACTGTGACCTGTGTTTGACTGCAGGACTTCCAAGATATGAAGGAAATGATTTGCTGCACTGGACATTCAGTGTGTATTTGTACACAAAGGACTGTGTGCTTGGGAAGGGGAACAAGAATTACTCTGGGAGATTGGAAGAATTTCTAAAATACAGATTTCCCAGATTAGGGTCCTGTCTGCCCCTAAGGTGGAAGGGCAGAGCTGAGAAGACCTGTGCTGTCTGTGTCATTTGATCTCTGATAACCCAGTAGGGGAGCTGCCTCTGTCCTGAGTCTGAGATGGGTGGCCTTAGCTAATGCGGGATCTCAGGAAAGCTTAGCATTTAGGAGCACCAGTGGGAAGGAACTTGAAGGTTCTGTCAAAGGATTCTCATCTTGCTCTGCTGTAGGGAGCTGTGAGGGAGACCACAATCCATGCCATGGTGAGTGTGGGGACCACTGACCCCAAACCAATAGGAGTGGTTCTGCTAAGCTGTCAGAGCTTCTGTGACTGTGATGGGCCATGAGCCAGACTGTGGTTCTGTTTGTCACTGTGGTGATCTGGGATATGGCCCTTTTTCTCTGAGACTCTGACTGTGGGTTCAATGGGGAGTGGGAGGCTCTCCTTGCCTGGCTATGAGAGGCTGTCATACTTGTAATATTTTTGCATAATTACAGGTGAGTGGATAGAGCAGATTTTAGATCACGTGTCATAACCCATGTGGCAGGATATAGACAAATGATTCTTCTACATTGTTTTCTGATTGGGCATCAGTGGGACTGGGTTTGCCTGAAACCACAAGGGGACATGAAACCACAAGGGCACATGAGAGTTCACAGAGCCATAGCATGCAATTACCTCCATTTGCCAAGAAAGCTTTAGAGCTTGAACCCTCTCTGTTTGGAGAATAAATATTCATAGCTACAGGGTCAGAAACAGCATTTAAAGGTAACTTTGAGTTAATTTTGTTGGAGTTGTGAAGTTTGTGTTTATTTAATTTCTGTACACATAGAATATAGGTAGTTAGATAACACTGGTCATGATCCCACATTTC